CAACTGTACCAAAGCATTTTGACATCTCGGACTGATGTGTGGGTTTATACAAAGCAAATCTTACCTGCTTTTCTTCTCGTGCTTTCTTGGCTTCCTCAATGAGCTGCTGTTTCAGGAGAAAGCCCTCTTTGGTGATCTCAGCCATCTTCTGCAAAACGTCCCGCTCTTTAAATCCTAGTTCCCTAAGAACCAAACAAATCTCTCATATTTCAATGTGTTTATAGCCTTTGCATCAGAAGTAACAATGGAAAGTAAAACAATGAAATATAAAATAAACTGTTCTATTTTCGTACAGATTTTTGTTCTCAAAAACAAATGTGTATTGTATTTATTTATGTTATGTAACATTTCTACAGTTAAAAAAATATCACATTTAAACAGCTAGAAAGTGTGTTATTTAGGATCATAACTTCCATAGATTGCTAATTTACACAGTCAAGATGATTAAAACTGACATTTATTTGAACTCAGTACAATATTGAGATGCAGCACAATGACCAAAGACATCTGTCTGGTGCACATGTATGCATGTGTAAATGGCTGTTAATGTGCTTTTCCCTTGAAAGCAATTCCATTTGGATCAGAACTCACTTGCAGGTATTTTCACATTTGGCTCCGCTGTTGTACTCATCAGTAGTATCGCAGCAGTCTGTGGAGAGGAAAGATTTCAAATGCAATACCACTCCATTTATTGTACACTGCTGAGGAGAAATGTCCAAATGCAGAGTCATCTTACCACAGATGCCATCATTAATACGGGAGGATGGGATAAACATGGGCCTGTAACCAGCATTGGTGCAATGGAAGCTGCCATTCGGACAAGCAGCGGTGCCTGAGGACCGACATAAACAACTGTCATGCACGATGCCAAACTATACTACATCACCACTTTCTACCTGTCATGGACTTAAGAAAGACAGTTCACACAAAATATTACAATTCTGAGATCGGTGGTACTCAACCTCAGGTCTTGTATGCCTGTCTTTCTCTCACGGAAGCTATTTACTATAGTACAAAGTCCAAGCGGTTTTGTTCAACACAATAAAGTCATACTCTTCATTCACTTCCACTGATTGAATGAAAAAGGGCAGCTTTTGTATTCTTTTAGATATCTTCTTTTGTGTTTCATGCAAGAAAGGAAGCCATGCAGGATTGATTTTTTTTATTATTATTTATATGCATGTATACAGATATTTAGCCCTTATTTGTTCTGTTTTTTAGCACATTTTTGTTATAGCACAAACACAATTTTGTTCATGAGTGTCACGCAAGCATGTCAAAACTCCCGTTTACCATGTTTGATGTGTTGACAAACACATATAGTGTTTATAGTTATAGTGCTGTGAAACGATTAATCGCATCCAAAATAAAAGTTTTTGTTTACATAAATGCGTGTACTGTGTATATTTATTATGCATATATAAATACACTATAAATACACACACATGCATGTATTTATTTAAGAATTATTTTTTTAAAATATATTTATATATAATATAAAATATAAGAATATAAATATATTAATGTATATATACACATGTAAATATTTACTGTATGTGTGTTTTTTACTTAATAAATATACACAGTTCAAATACATATATTATGTAAACAAAAATGTTTATTTCGGATGCAATTAATCGCGATTAATCGTTTGACAGCACTAGTGTTGATCAATGTTTATACGTGAATAAAAGGCTAAATTAAATCTACTCATCATATAAAGTGATCATGTCTCTTTAGAAGACTTTTATTAAACCAATGGTTTACTTTTACAATGCATTTATGAACTTTCTGAAACTTCAAAGTTTTGGCAGCATGAATTTTCAAAAGAAAGAATAGAAATCTCTCAGGTTTAATTTTTTTATATGTTTTTCTTTTGTGTTTTGAAGAGGAACAAATGTTTTATGGTTTGAAAAAACATGAGTGCGAGTAAACGATAATTTTATTTATGGGTGAACTAACCCTTTAAATGGGGTTAGTTTTTTCTGTTTGTGTATAATATATATATACATATACATATACACACACACACACA